CTTTTCTTCAAAGTCTTGAGAAGGATCTACCATCTGATATTTATTTGGTTGTTGTAATAAAACATACAACTCAATCTCATTGAACCCAGATTGTTCATGAGTTCAAAACATGTTTCAAACATCATCATCGTCTGACTTGGTTGTTGTCAAATAGAAATGGGGACTTGTAAAGAATTTGGTAAACTGGACCACACTGCAATGTGGCTTACAGTCTATCTTTGAAGTGTGCAAAACTTGATTTCTTGTTTGTCCGAAAGCGGATAAAATCAATATTACGAAAATTAAAATCGCAGTTATTGCAGTTGAACGTCTCACTGTTAATATGGGCAACAATAGTATAATTTTGTGAATGATCCATGTTATTGAGGTATGTTTTTTGTGAGTTATGGATGTATACTTGTAATACGCCCTACACAAACGATTACATAGACTGATGAAAGTATGGGATATCCTCTATATTTTGCATGCATGCGCCACCTAGGGTGGCTTGTCCTCTTCTTTTTGCATGCATGCGCAATCTAGGGTGGCTTGTCATTGAACAACAAAATTGTATGCATGCCATTTGATCCCCGCCATGTTGTAGGTTTGCATGCATGCAAAAAGTAACAAGCCATATTGAATGACACCTATGTGTATCAAACAAGAGCATGCGCCACCTAGTGTGGTGCCTATGTGTATTAAATAAGAGCATACGCCACCTAGGGTGGCGCCTATGTGTATATCTTGCATGAAAAGTATTGTCACGTGAATGCATAATATTCCTCAAGATTTTCCTATAAATACATAAAACATTCATCCTATATGTTCATCATAATCATAACTCATACACTATTTCTTTCTTGAAACATCAACAACAACACAAGAGTAATCAAGAAAAAACGTCTCTCTTGATTATGGGTGATCAACATAGAGGAACTCTCAACAACATTGAAACCTTTGTAAGTGCATTTTCCTCAATACCTATTTTTTGTCGACAAATTTTATTTCCGTAATTCTTATGATTGTTATACGTAAATCTTGTATTTCTTATACGTAATTCATGTTTCTAATAGGATGTTAAAAGATTTTGTTGCCGTGTCCATGAGTATGTCCCTTACAACGTTCAAATTGAACCGTACTTACGACATGCTGGTTTTGGTCCGTTACTCAACATAGTCAATTACCATGTTGACTATAAAGTTATTCTCGCATTAGTGGAGAGATGGGGACCCGAAACTCACACCTTTCATCTTCCATGTGGTGAATGTACAATCACACTAGAGGACATATACATGTTCTTTGGTCTACCGATCGATGGTAAGACTGTCAATGACCGAGTCAACCAAGACAACGCCATATGCGAGGAACTTTTGAGAGTCTCTTTATTTGAACAAGGGTCTAGAGGCCAAGGTATTAATCTTCGTCTTTTTAGAGAATATCATAGTAGTCTCGTAATAACCGAAAATTCTACCGAGCAAGAATTTTTTTTTGAAAGCTCAGTGTTACATAATGATATTATTTGGCCACTTTTTTATTTCCTGAAACAACGGGTAATACTGTTAATATCATGTATTTACCCTTGTTAAGACAATTTGATAAAATAAACACATATAGTTGGGGCTCTGCTGTTTTGGCACATCTGTATAGTTCCTTGTGTGAAAATGCATCGAACGACAGTTGTTCTTTCTATTCCTGCGTCTTTTTTCTCCAGACATGGTGCTGGTCGAGAATGCCAACACTCGCCCCCCGTAACACAAGGGCATTCGTCTTCTCCTTTGCTACAAAGTAAGATTACAAACCCATAAATTTTACATACTATATACTGTAACCAACATGTATTAATTTATTACCCATTTTTTCTATGTAGGTGGTTTGTTCCTGGGATGAATTACAACAAATCCCCTAGAAACACAATAGTAGTCTATCGAAATCTTATTGATCATGTTGGACTTGAAGAGATATTAAATTTACATATTTTATACAACGCTTTCAATAGGTTAATTAAGTTTAATAATTTATATAATTTTTTCCTCTACAGTTTATATGGAGGCCGTATAAGAATCTCGACCATGAGATTAACCCAGCTGATGCTGAAATCTGGACTACAAAAACAACACTCATAGGTTCACTACTATGGAGATGCACCACCGTGATTGTGTGAAGCTACAGTTCGGCATGCAACAGGGTATCCCAGACCCCCTACATGTTTGGGACAATGGCATCTACTTAAAGTTGACGACCAATGGGGATTTAACGATTTGAGGGACTTCGCTAAAAATCAATGTCATTAATGGAGGCATCGACGTGAATTGGTCCTAAGGGAGTCGATCATGTAAGATGACTTAAAACCGACTCTCCAATATTTGAGATGGTACACATCGGTTTCAACAAATTTGTTTCTGTCTCAAGAGACATATTTGATTGACCCACGCCAAAGAGCTGTAACATACGCCCAACAATAACCCCAACAACCAACCCCTCAACAATACCAAACCCAACCACAATGTTAACTCACTCAAACCTAACAACCATACACACCACATTCAACCAAACTCGTCATCAATTCATGCCACACACACAAACACAATATCAAGAGTATGACCCGATCCACCACTAACAATATGCATCATCTTCATCCTACCACAACACCCAAGACACATATGATACATCTCCTTCCTACCATACCACCCAACCTACATAGAGTCAAACATCACACCAACGAAGTACCCAACCATCATACATATTTTATACACCACAAGAACCGTTACTTCGTTTCCATCATGATTCAATATCCCAATACTATCAACCATTCCCACCCACACATATCCCAACCAACAAGACCAAACTTCAACAACATGGGCACTGATCTCTTTGGAAGCACAACACAGTGGGGCGAAATGATCGATGAGATGTATGATCTCAATGTACTAGGACCATCACATTAAACACCTCATAATCAAGCGAGTCAGAACATACCCCAAACACCTCAGAAAAATCAACAGATATGAGTGAGACAAGAGGTGAGACAAAGACAGGGGCCGTTTATGTCATACTGGGACCCGCTTAGGTTGAGGGGACGTCCAAAAAAATATATCTATACGTTGTGTAATATAAAATATTAATATAAAATATTTTTAGTTACTTTTATTTTTATTTTAAACAAATTAATAAATAACATTGTCAAGTTAAAGAAGAAGACGCCTCCTCTCTGTCAATACATGCATGTGCCACACTGCGTGACTTTACAGAGGAGGACAAGCCATGCAGTGTGACGCCTCCTCTCTAAAAAACATGCATGTATTATATAGAGTGGCTATTCCTCTGTGTGACGAATGTTTAAAAAATAATTAATTTGATAAATTTTTTGAAAATGTGATTATTTAATTTTTTTAATAAAAAAATATAATTATTTAAAAAAAAAATCTATTTTTCAAAAAACTTTAAATTATATGTCAAACACAATTCTAAAAAAATATTTTAGAATTAATATAATAGAATACCGACATCAAAGTGGACCGTTATTTAAGACTGCTATGAGAGGGAAAGAGTCCGACGAAAGTGCAGTAAAACTTCAATCCAAACAGAAAGGTTCATACATATATAAAATTTTAATTGGTTATTATGACTTAATTTAAATTTCTGAACAACATAAAAATATTGTACATTATTATTAATCAATTTATTATTTGATTTTTTTCTAAATAATTTAGTGATTAAAAATCTGAATTTGATTTTTTTCGTGAAAATAATTTGTCTAAGCTTTACTTATCGGTCGAATTCCGAATTACTAAAATCTATTTTCTCTATAAATTGGAGGGTTAATAATAAAAAAAAGAATTTAGGACCCTTTTTCTAAGAGTTGAAGAGTTAAAACACTTAAAAAATATTCCATAATCAACAGCGTGGTGTTAAAAGTTTGAGTTCGAATTCATGCCGTTGCATCACTGTCTTTGCATATTATTTAATTACTTTATTTGATTTTTATTAGAACTAAAAGGTATTACACTGATATAATTTTATAATGTCATTTATATAATTTATTTAAAAGTAATAGTATAATTTGATATTTAATATTATTGTAATTTATTGATATTATAAAATTATTTTATACTGTCAGTTAGTGTATTTTCTTTTTCTTTTTTTATTAAACAATACTTTAAATAATTACTATTTTTATATTTATAATACAAAACTATTATTTTTTGTGTTTAATAAATATGTATTAATAGCATAAAATAATTTTACACACTCGTTCAATAAAAATTATTAATATATTATAATATTAAAAAAAAGTTAAATAAAAAATGATTTAATTAAATATATAATAATAATTAATTGATAATATAAAAATATTTTATAAGGTGAATAGATCATTTTTTTTTTATCAAATAATTTAACGACCAAAATAATTGAGATGTTGCCAATTCGAATAAACACTCAAACACTTTTAAAATAAATAAATGATATAGTTGTTGATATTATTGAGAGAGAGAGAAAGTGATGAATAAAAAGGCATGGCCATTACAAATTGAGTGTTAATTTACTTTTCTCTCCGTGGTGATCCGAGTTGGTAACTCATCAAACGAGTTCGCCACGCTGACTCGGTTGTACAGGCGGCTATTCGTCATCTCGCCACGCATCATTCTTCTCCACCCAATCGAATATCTTCCGATTTCATAACCACCACAACTTCTTCGATCTCTCTCCTAACACACTTCTTCTGCAACTTCAACACACCTAACTTTAATTTTCTTCCTCTGCGTAGATTCTGATTTCGTAATCGTAAGCAAGATCTTCGGTAACAAACTAGTTGCACTTTTTTTTGAAGATTTTTTTTATGATTTGAAGATCCTTCAATTCAATTACTAGCTTTGGCTGTTTTGGATTGGATTGGATTCAATTAGAGAGAGTTGAATTCGAGAACGATCTGTTTCGGATGATTATTTTTGTTAGTCTCGGTTGATCTATTTTTCGAGGAGGAATTTGTAATCTGTGTTGTGGATTATAGAGATTTTGGCAGTATGGTTGGCGGCAACATTTTTCACTGTAGAAAGAATTCGTGGCCTCCTGAAGAGTATATCAATAAAGCCACTTTACAGTTGGTAGGCTAATCTATGCTATGCTATGATTCCTCTGTTTTTTAATTTCTCTCTCACATATTTAATTGAGCTATGCAGCACTGATACATCTGAAAAGTTTGCAGAGGCTTCTGATTAATTTATTCATTATTGTCGATGTCGCTGAGTCAGTCAGTCAGTGTCGATGTCGTGTTCTGGATGTGCGTGCTTCATAGGTTTAGAAGCTTATGTTAATTATTTAGTTCACTAGGAAATTCAGTTAGTTGATTGGAATTTGCAGCTTGTAGTTTTTATTATTCCGATGACACGGTGGCTTTTGTATGAAACACTTTCATTTCCTTGTGAATTGATCAAACTTTGATTTTGGGATGTTGAATTTTCTTTGAGTATATTAGCTACCTATTAGGGTATTAACATTGAATGAAGGAAAGTAAAAGGAAGAAGAAAATAGCTTTGAATAAGTAGACGAATTTTGTAGCTCCTCATACTCTATGTTTTTTTCACTCTTTTTGCAGTTTGATTTAGACAGTGCTGCTCCGCCCGAACATGCTTGGAGAAGGAGATTAAATAGCCATGCCAATCTTCTTAAAGAATTTAGAGTAACTTTTATGGAAGCTATAAAGATGGCAAGTGATTTATTTTTCTCGCTTTGTATCCCTATATAACAAGTTACAAGACGGGTTTACTTGTTGAATTTATTGGAATCCTTTGCATATGCTTATTAATTAGCACAGCGTGCTTTATGGCATTTTATTTTGTAATGTTAAGTTCATGTTTCTGTGTCCTTTCTAACTGTCTATTATAAATTGAAATTTCAGGTTCGATTAGGTATTCGCATGTGGTCATATGTTAGGGAAGAGGCTTCTCATGGAAGGGTAAATTTCAAGTTCTCCTTCATTCTTTGGCATCAATTTTTTGTGTGTTTGTCTTTTTTGTGATATAAATGAAGAGTTCATAAACTTGTATTCGGTAAGTGTTTTGAAAGTAGAGATTCGAGATTTCAGTTTGTTGGCTTGAATTATGCAGAAAGCACCTATAGATCCTTTCACTCGAGAAAGTTGCAAGCCATCTGCATCTCAAGGAGTTCCACTTGGAGGGATGGGGTATGACCCAGTCAAATTTTAAACTTCATTTAATCACTTGACTGATTAATCTTGTACATACGTTTATCCTTGGCCTTTTGTAGCAATTTCTGTAAAAAAGGTAAGCATATTCTTCTTGTACTGGTTTGATGGGATTATATGCATATGCAGGAGTGGCAGCATATCAAGAGGATTTAGAGGTGAGTTCAGACAATGGCAAATCATTCCTGGTCTATGCGAACCATCACCTGTCATGGCCAATCAGTTCTCTGTAAGTCCTGTTTTCCACATACTATTAACCTGCTATACTCTTCTCTAATTGTATGGCTTTACAGGGCTTATATTTTGTTAAATTGATATGCATGAGTGTGTGCATAGTTCTTTGATTGTCAGTTACTAATGTGTTCAGAGAGTATCTTTAAAAGTGAATTATATTAAATTATAATTCTAATATAATTTTGCACATAGAATCGTATAAATGCATATTATATAATTTTAATTCCTCTGTAAGCAGCTACTAATCTTTGCCTATAAGCTACCTAAAGAAGGTAAGGAAAAAGTTCAAAGAAACATTAAAATCCTCTCGGGTATAATTATTTAAATCCCAACCAAAACAATGGTTTTGTTGTTGGGCAGATATATGAGTTAGAGTCAGAAAATGCCGGGTCAATATACAAATCAGTATTTTATTATGGACATTTTTTGTGATGTCCAAGAACCTTGCAATTCTAGTTAGCATATGATGATTAAAATCTGAAATTCATCATGTAGAGTAGTTACATCTAATCATAGTTTGGAATAAATCTATAAATTAGATACAGTGGAGTCAGCGTTGATACGGAAGGGAAATATGGATAGAAGTTGATCAATTTTAATTCTATTGGATTTTGGTTGGTACTTGAGCTTCTTAACTCTATTAGTATTGATGTTTCTACTTGATAAGATATCCCAGAGCTTTTGTCCAAAGAAAAAAACAGAAGTGCACAACCAAGTTTTTAGTTTCACTAGTTGTTACTTTGCATATAGTTTGCTTCATAAATAGCGTTCACACATATGATCAAGATAAAATCATCTGGGTCTCTTTTCCTTCAACTTTTGAGGATTTTTTTATGGGTTGGGGGAATGAGGGTTCTCTTTTTGTAGAGGTAAAACATATGGTTTATTCCCCTGTAACCTGGAATGATATTTATCTACTGTTTATGGTCATTTGCAACCATGGCTTATATTCAGAATATCTGGTTTATTTACTTCAATTGCAGATTTTTGTAAGTAGAGAGGGAGGAAACAAAAGGTTTGCATCAGTTTTGGCTCCTGGTCAGCATGAAGGTTTAGGGTAAGAAATGATAATTTTTTAAAACAGTTTTTCTCAAGTACAAGGACTTGTTTGTTTTAAGAAATATTTTGTTTTTTCATTTCCTGTTTTCACTTATTACATAAATGTTGCATTGTTTTCACTCTGTTAAAGACTGGTATAATAATTGGTTTCATAGTTTCATGTGCATATATTTGAGTATAGGAAAACAAGGTGAAAACAATGTTTCATTTTTGTAATTACAAATAGAAAACAGGCAATGAAAACCTAAAAAATTAATTTAAATCAAACAGGCTCTAACATTCCTGCAGTATATTTATTTAATATAGCTTTGTATATTGTATATAGTTAATGAAGTTTGGATTCACCATTTTATGCTACTGTTACTGCTTCATGTCACTGCAATTAGTTTAGGTGATAATCTCGGGCATGTGTGCTCTCTAATGAAAGGGTAATCCTGGAGAATACATTTTGGATGTAGTATAAAAATTGCATAATTTATCCGTGAGAAGTAGCTTGGTTTTAACCCAAAAAGGTCAAGTAGTAAGGGGATAAAATAAATTCAATAGAAATTAGAAACTACTTTTTAATCTTGTCATTCTTTAATTCTGTTGGAGGATAAGATTATCTTGTGGTATCTATTTGGGGGATAAGCTTATCACTCTTTAAACCTTGAGGAAATATCCCTTGCATATATGGTGGGAGTTTGGGGGGATTTATTTTGTACTAGTGACGGTTTCCATTTATGTAAAGTCATATTCATTACTTGATAAAAACTAGATGGTTGTTTTGTGATCATGGAGTGAGACTTCTCTTAACTTTATGGAGCTTTTTTCACTCGTTTATCTTTTTCATAAGTATGTCTGATGATTAATTATCATTTCTTTATTTCTTCTTTTTCCTCTTATGTTAGTTCATTATTTTGGGTTTGGCCATTTTCTCTCTCCCCTAAACCTTTCCATTTTAATGGTTATCTTTGAAAGCGCACTTTAGCAACCATAGCAAAACACATTTAGTAGTTTTTTTTTCAGTAGGCCCATCTCACCCCTCCCATTAACAACTAAATACTGGACACTGGCACATGGTAAATATTTCCAATTAGTCCCCTGGTATTAGAACTACGATATGGCGTTTTCTTGGGTGATAATGATTGATAGATTATCTTTTATTTATTTCTACCGAACATGTTCTATTATTTAACGGATAAATTTCATGACGTTCGGATAGTCTTCTTTCCGACTTATATAGAAAGAGCTACTGAGTTTGTAATCTCCATTTTGGAGGTAGGTTTCAGATTATGAATATACTTACAGGCTTTGCAGAATATGCATGCACATGCGAGGTTCATAAATTCTAAGTAATAAGTTGGGACATAATACAATATTCTACGAAGTTTTGACAAATTTACTGCTAAGTGCATTTTACACCCATGTGGAGAGTAATGGCTAAGTTAACACGTTACTCTTAAAATCTGAATCCTGCATGCCATGACTATTTTTCATGTATCTAGATGCTTATACATGGACTCATATTTTTCAATATATTATGTTTCAGATCTAGCAAGAAAGCTGACGAACAGGGTATATCATCATGGGGATGGAATCTTAATGGCCAGCATTCAACTTACCATGCTTTGTTTCCAAGAGCTTGGACTGTTTATGATGGTATCTTCAATTTTTTAGTTCTTTTATTGCTAAATGTGTGTATACTTACAAATAGTTGTCTAATATAAGTTCCTATATTCTTAGGTGAGCCTGACCCAGAACTAAAAATATCATGCCGGCAGATATCCCCTTTTGTACCACATAATTACAGGGAAAGCAGTCTACCTGCTGCTGTTTTTGTCTATACGGTGTGTGGATTTTTCAACTGCTAATGTTATTTAAATTCATCAGTCAGAAAATAAAATGGCTGATTCTGTTACTATTTTTAGCTGTTTTTCTTTAATGTGTTATATTATTTTAAACAAAGTGTGGACTGGTAACTTAGATTTTTAAATTGAAAACCATGATTGGATGTTTCTCTTACTTTATGTCAAAGTAGCATAGCTTCTACCATAGTCACTTGGATATGTTTGGCCATTTCATTAAAAATTGAGTTGGATGCATTGTATAAAGGTTTTTAATTGTTACAAATCACTTGCTTAAGTTGACTTCAATTCCTTTGATCCTTTTGATATTTTTGCACAATCATTCTTTCTTGATCATTTATTAAATTGATGCATGCTACATTATTATAAACCCCTTTGGAAGACCAAAGCTTCCTCTATGATTGAGTATTTTATTTGAGCTTCCATGTTTTATAGAATTCATTACAACGACAATTTTGCTGGCTCATAGGTTATATAATATAAAAGCCTTTTCCCTCAATATTCATGTTATGTATGGTGATGTTTGAGAATTATTTTTTACAGCTTGTATTAAGATTTGAGTTTGGCCTAACTCATCCCTAGAAAACCGGTAGGGTGAGGGGTGACACTCTATAAACTCTTAAAATTATGGGTTGACCTAACTCAACTTAAAAAAATTATATAAACTCTTAAAATTATGGGTTGACCTAACTCAATTTTACAAAATCAATTTGTAAGGCGAGGAGCGCCACTCTGTATAAACTCTTTTCCAATACACCTCCTCACGCCCAACACTATATGGATGTGAACGGTGAGTGGCCCGTGGCCTGATTGATAGACTCGGATACCATAATAGAATTAGAGTTTGAATGATTTACAACACATATAGAAAGAGTTAAGTAGCTATTACTTGTTATATATACACGCTGATTAGCTATTCTTGTAATTAATACCATCTCTAAATTGTCTAAATGCCTACCTATATGTTGGTAATTCTTTCGTCATATCCAATGTTAAATTTCACTATGTTTTGACATGAAGAAGCATCGATTGTCATGATTTTGAAGAGTTATACTTGTTTCTTTTGTAGTTGGTAAACACCGGTAAGGAAAGAGCTAAAGTCAGCCTTTTATTTACTTGGGCGGTAAGATACTATGTGTCTGAAGTATTGATTTCATTTGTCAGATATTTTTAACTGGAATGTATGATTATTCATCAATATTAATCTTGTGCAGAATTCTATTGGTGGAATCTCTCACTTGTCAGGAGATCATGTGAATGAACCATTCATGTACAATTTTCTTAAATGTGATATTGGTTTGCTTTGTATATAAAATAGGCTTTTAGGAATTATTTTAATTCCTTTTTAATTTTTCATTCACAGAGCTGAAGATGGCATCTCCGGTGTACTTCTATATCACAAGCAAGTTAATCAAACCCTATAGCTATATATGACGGTTGGTTTGCAGATTTCTCTTTGTAGGTTATTTGCAAATGCTTAATAACACAATGAGTTGAAGGTTCTGAAATGTCTAAAGGAGCTCTTGCTTATCCTTAACAAACTGAGTTTTGATATAAACTAGAAATATGCCTTTCCTTAAACTACTTGCTTTGTGAGCTAATCATCCCGCATGTTTAGGATTATCAGATTTTTCCTATTAAATAGGATGTATCATTTAAATTTAAATGATTAAGTTTAGAGAAAAGTAGTTATTAGCCTAGTCTAATTAGGACTCTTCTTCTACTGTAAGCCTATTTAAAGGCATTGTGATTTGGAATAAAAATCATTAATAATTATTATAAAAAAATAGTTGTGAATTCAAGAGACTCTGTTAAGGACGAGTCTGCTTCTGCCACAAAACAAAACTGCAGCTATGAGTCTCCTATAAAGGGACAAAGAAACTTCTAGAACACAAAACTGCAGCTATGAGATATTCAACTAAATATTAGTGATCCTGCAACTGTCTGAAACATCTATTTTAGATTTGATTTTGCAACCTGAGTTGCATAAATAAGCTAACTTTTTTAGTTGATAAATGAAGTTATTTAATAAAAATTTAATAAAAATACTATATTCTGACCCTTTGTACTTCCTTTCCTAATAGAATCCTCTTTTTGAAGATACTGAGTGGTCATCTCTATCAGAAAAGTCACAACACTTGAGCATCTTTCTTTTTTATTCCTAAAACTATCTTTTCTATTATTATTGTGACGAGAGAAACAATCTCTATAAAATAGAAATGGATAAAATGCAACTGGGGCAACTGTCCTGAAATAGATGAAGATGAACATACAGTTCTGGAAGAGATTATTTTTTATTTGCGTTATCTTTAGTGCTAAAGTTTTCTTTTTGTATGCATGCATATAACTGAAATTGGATTTTCTCTCTTCAAACTGCTATATTAATAATGATTTTGATGGATATATTCTTAAGGTCATTGAATATTTCAGGACAGCAAAAGACAACCCTCCTGTTACTTTTGCTATTGCTGCATGTGAAACACAGAATGTTAGTGTTTCTGTTTTACCAAATTTTGGGCTGTCCGATAGAAGTAGTATAACGGCAAAAGGAATGTGGTCTAAAATGGTGAAGGTACTGATTACTTGTGTTTATATGGTTTCTAGATATTTATAGTGACCTATATCCATTATTTTCTTCCAAGTTATTTTAGTATGGAAAGCATACAGGGTTGGTTCTAACTGAAATCGTTGTATATTAAGGATGGGCAATTTGACCGGGAAAATTTTTCTTCTGGACCCACCATGCCCTCATCACCTGGAGATACACTATGTGCTGCTGTTTCAGCTTCCGCATGGGTGGAACCCCATGGAAAGTGTACTGTTGCATTTAGTCTTGCTTGGTCATCTCCTAAAGTAAAGTTTGTCAAAGGCAGCACTTTCCAAAGGTAATCATTGGTGTGTGCTAATGTTTTGGGTAGTTAATACTTATCCTTGGATGATTTTTCTATATTTTGAATAATAAAGATTTATCTTATGCATGTAACTCAAAGTGTGGTTTAACTACTATATCTAAAGTGTCTTTAAGTAGGTAAGGGTCTGTTTGGTTTTTTTGTTTTCATTTTCTGTTTTCATTTTTTTTCTTTCAATTTTAATTCCAAAAAGGTCGTGATAAGAACTCTGTTTTCTGTTTTCAAAGTCTTGTGCAGGAAACAGTAAAAACAATAAAAAAATGTTTTCAATTTTCAACTTTGAGAAAAAGAAACTGACAATATGATGTCATTTTTGTATATATATAAGTTGTGAAGCCAAACTAGCCTTAAATTTACACAATTCAGGCCCAAGGAAATTATAAAATTAGACCTTTTGAAATTATTAGTAATAATGATAATGATAATAGTATAGGTTGTAAAATCATTTATTAAATTATTGTACTTGATTTCATTTAAGTCTTTTTTTTTTCAATCCATAACACAGTCAATCACTGACCCCGCTTAGTGGGTTAAGCTTTCGTTGTTGTTGATTACATAATCAATCACCGACCCCGCACTGAAAGTTTGACAATAGATGAAGATATACAAAAATTAAAAGCCTGCAAGTCAAGACTAAATGAGAAAAAGTTAGAGCAATAAAACTTAATTGCTCCCAGCAAAATGAGGCTATTTTTTTTCCCAGTCACACAAATAGGAGGTTTTTTCCACAAGATATTAATTCCTAGTATTAGATAAAAAAATTGAGGCCCAAGGTAAACTGCCATGGTTGCCTGCCCCTAAGACTGGGCATCGGAACCCTTGCGAAATTGCGATTTAAACAGGTAGTGCGCATAATATTTAGACTTTTAAAATTTTCGTTTATGTCATTACATTGTCTCCATCTCTTTTGAAATGTATGTGGTATGCGGTTATGCTTTTAGGCTTTGTATGGCAGTTAGGAGGGGAAGGTAAGATGGTCTGAGGGGAGGCAAGAAAAAGGTAGGAGAATCCTCCATCTTGTTTGGGAGAGTGCTTTGGAGGGGAGCGGATAAAAATACTTATGACTAATACTTTCATTTTGAGAATAATATTAAAATAGAGAGGATTTGAAGAATTTTTCGAAATCCTCTTGTAGGGAGGGGAAATGTCCTCCCTTCCTCTTCCCTTTCTACCAAAGGCCTCCTCTCTCTTCTCCTCGTAACTCCCAAAGCAATGCTTTAATGAGATATTATCCAAGTGACTAAACTCGAGTTCATAGACACATGGGAAAATGGTCATTGTGTTAGTGTCTCTTGATATTTTATCCTCAGTTATTGTTTCTATTAGGTTTTTCTTCTGCTTTTAAAGACTACTGTATCTGACTGTCTTGCTCTTTTATGCTGCACTTTATGATCCTAGTAATACATCATTACCTGAAATGGAGCTCTATTTTCTCTTTAAACTAATAACATAACTCTTTAATTTTGAATGGGTAACCTTTTAATAATACCCTTCAGATGTTTTTAAAGGAGCAAGGGTCGTTCTTATGTATATAGATTGTTCAATAAAAGGTTGCAAGACATGCAGCATATGCCTAAAGTTACAATCCAGTGTTTGTTTTCTCATTTTTGTTCTATCAAGTCAAATTCGCTCAATTCTTTTACTGCAGGAGATATACAAAATTTTATGGGACTTCTGATAGAGCTGCAGTGGACTTGGCTCATGATGCATTGACACGTAAGTTGTCTAATTCGAATTAAAATTTATATTCTTTAGGCCTGCTTTTCTTTTTCATCACTCTTATCTTGCATTCAGGGATGGATAGGTGTATCAATGTGGTACGAAATACACAAATTTTAAAAAAATAAATCAAAATGTTAATAAAAAACAGGAGTTTTTTTTATACATTATAACTTGAGAGCTGAATTGTTTAGTTCACAACAAAACTTCACAATAAAAGTTTAAAAAGTCAAAAACTGAGTTTTGGTTACAACAATAAAGAAACACATGCCTAAATGAGTTGTTTTATTAAACACTGTTATATTTCTATATGAAAATGTTACAAAATCCACTTGCGACAGAATAATGAGACTAAATGGAGTACCGTACGCATGCGAGTTCCGGTACACATATCGGTACGGGAAGTGTAGTCAATATCGAGTGCTGGATAGTAAGATCTAACATGTTAAGAATGCCTGAGAGTGTCACGATCAGAGAAAAATCATTTTCGCCACCGGCATGGTCATGGTCGGGCTTTTTGAAGCAAGATAGTAAAAAAAAACGTGTTGGGACTTTTTTTTTGGGCCATTATTAGTGTTAATATATGTATGAAATTACCATTTTTCCCTTCGGTAGAATCTTACGTGCCGTGCTAACGGTCTGAGTTTTACGATCTTTCACAAGCCGACCGATCATACTTAAGATCTCGTTCTTGACTACATTGGGTGCGGGTACTTCACTGTGTTACAAGTACCCATGCTTCAGTGCTTCTATCACATTTATAAAGTAAAAAAAAAACAAGATATGAATGTTTCTGAAGTGATTTGACAAAATTTCTGTAGCATTTAAAGACTATATTGTGTTCTGAATTCCAAACAGATTATAAACGGTGGGAAGAAGAGATTGAGAAATGGCAGAATCCTATTCTTAAGGATGAGAAGCTACCAGAATGGTAATTCTTAGTTTAACTATTAAAGTATTTTTTTTAAATAATCACCAATTTATTTTTGTATTACAGGTTATTCCCAGTTAATTTATTAAATTGAAGCTTTTAGTCTTCAGATCTAGGTGTATTGCAGGAAACATAAAGCAAAACATGACTTTTTTTTTAGCTGATCTTTAGCTTCATATTTTGCTAGGAATTGCATTTTGGACTTAATAGAAATTTTTTATTCTATAGATGGCATATTTTATATTTTAAACAAATAATTTCCATACATTCACTATGCTAATCAATTTTCTGTGTTCGAAGATTGAGTTTATGTGACCCATAAATCAAACGTTTTCACAAAATACTTCAACAAATTATCAGCTTCCTTTATGTTTTAATAAAATATACACACTTAATTTCTACTGTTCATAGGAGTATGCATGCCTTTCTTATCTTGTCCTGTCTATAAAAATAGTTAATTCAACAACAATGAAAAGGCCTCTTTCCAAGTAGGTGGAGTCAGTTGCATGGATTAAAGACACCATTGTGTTTCATAGACTAACTTTTAAGAATATCATATTATGGTTTTTCTTAGAGTTCTCTTATATTATTCTTTACATATTGAGCTATCTTCTATATATTTAGCCTTTCTTACAATGACTTTTATTGGTTAGTCTTGGAGAAAATAGACAATGTATTTAAGATTTATTTTTACAGGTACAAGTTTACATTATTTAATGAACTCTACTTTCTTGTTGCTGGAGGAACGATTTGGATTGGTAAGTATGAATATAAACTTATTGCATTGCAGTTTAATTTTCAACAAATGTCTGGTTTATCATATAATGCATTTATTGTTAGTTTAATCTTCTGGAAACATTAATGTTGTTTTCACCCTTCTGCCAGACACTCCTTTGCAATCTTCAAATATGAGGAATAGTCAGGATCAGGTCAAAGAGTCAGAAAATGCAGTAGTCCAATTAACTGAAGCTAAAGTAGACTGCAGAAAAAGGGAAACAGATAGTACCAATGATTCTACTGTTTCGAGGGGGCATAATCACTTGGATGAAAATTATAGAGATATATCCCATGAAAATGGATGTGTGAATACTCTCAGAAAAGGAAACTCCACTAACACTCTGCCTTGTTCAACAATGAAGAACCTGCAACATGATGATGATAATGATGATGGTGGAAGGTTTTTGTACTTGGAAGGTGTGGAATATGTCATGTGGTGCACATATGATGTGCACTTCTATGCTTCATTCGCGCTTCTTATGCTCTTTCCTCGTATTGAATTAAGTATACAGCGGGAGTTTGCTCAAGCTGTTCTGTGCGAAGATGGGAGAAAAGTGAAGTATCTGGCAGAGGGAAACTGGGGAATTCGTAAGGTTTATGGGGCTGTCCCACATGATTTGGGGACACATGATCCGTGGCATGAAATGAATGCTTATAACATTCATGATACTAGTAAGTGGAAGGACCTGAACCCAAAATTTGTACTTCAGGTGTATCGAGATTTTTCTGCAACAGGTGATTTGCAATTTGGAGTTGATGTGTGGCCTGCTGTCCGTGCTGCAATGGAGTACATGGAGCAATTTGATAGAGATGCTGATGGTCTTATTGAGAATGACGGTTTCCCTGATCAGACATATGATACATGGACTGTCCATGGTGTGAGTGCTTACTGTGGTGGTCTTTGGCTTGCTGCTCTTCAAGCTGCAGCTGCAATGGCCATTCAACTAGGTGACAAAGATTTTGCTGAAACATGCAAAAGGAAGTTTCTGAAGGCTAAACCAGTATTTGAACAAAAGTTGTGGAATGGTTCTTATTTTAACTATGACAGTGGATCAAGTGGTAACAGTAAATCCATTCAAGCCGATCAATTGGCTGGGCAATGGTATACAGCATCCTCAGGGCTGCCCTCTCTTTTTGATGATTTCAAAATTAAAAGTTCCCTCCGGAAGGTTTATGATTTCAATGTGATGAAAGTTAAAGGTGGCAGGATGGGTGCTGTAAATGGCATGCATCCCAATGGTAAGGTGGATGAAACCTGTATGCAATCTAGAGAGATATGGACTGGTGTGACCTATGGTGTTGCTGCAACAATGATACTTGCAGGAATGGAGGAGGAGGCCTTCACAACTGCTGAGGGTATATTTCTATCAGGCTGGTCAGAAGATGGATACGGGTAACTTCTTATGTCCCCTACCACCAATAGTTATTTGTCAGTCACAAAATATGCAATTAGATTGGTGTGCATCTGTTTCTCAAAGTTAACTAGCATTTTTCTCGCACGAGAAGTTTCCACTATTTGGTTACATATTTATTCAAATGATTGGATTGATAAAAAAACACATTATAGTTTTTGGCTAGTGTGATTTGCAAATCTTTACATTGCATTCAATTCTCTATCAAGAAACTAATCCTTTCTCACATAACAGATACTGGTTTCAGACTCCGGAAGCTTTGTCAATTGATGGGCACTATCGGTCCCTCATATATATGAGGCCTCTGGCAATTTGGGGCATGCAATATGCATTAAGTCTGCCAAAGGCAGTACTTGAGGCTCCTAAAATGAACTTCATGGACAGAATCCACCTACCTCCTGTTAGTGGAGGATTACACAACGAAACAGGTGTGAGAAAGATTGCAAAAAAAACAAAATGCTTTAGCAATTCTGTGTTTAATTGTGCTTGCTGATTGTTAACATGTAAGCACGTGAAAATTTTGTATAGGTAACTTCTTCAAATTGTTACGAACCCAACCCTCTCGTAGAGAAGCTGTTAAAAACGGATGTCAAGGGAAGGTCGGGGTTCCGTTGTAACTTGTAATAATATATAGCCTGTAAGTTTAAAGATAAATAAGTATAGATACATTTTGCTGTATATTCTTATTTATTAGAGTTCCCAAGATATAATATAAATTTATTGCATGACGAGCAGCAACATTGAATGTTGAATGTTGCAATTGACGTGCATCATTTTCCATTTATCATGAATTAATCATTTTAAGAGGCTTTTATTTTTCATATTCCATAACGCATGACTCTTGAAGGTCCTTAAGGCTGAGGCACAAAGCAAAATCCCAAATATTTCATGTAGAATTTCAGCTTTTCATTAATAGAGATGACAACTATTGGATTCTAGAAAACATGGAGATAGAAACTTTGATTCCAATGTCATGATTTTGATTATTCAAAATGCAATATGTTTAAAAAGATATGATTTATTTCTATCATAGTTTTAGAAGATAGGATGCAGACTGAAATGATATATCTGATCATTTGATATATCTTCTTATAACGAGAAATAGGCTGAGGTGTAAAATGTAGTATATATTTGGAAGGTCAAAACAATATTCTTTCCTTATTGAACGTTTTGGTCTTTTTCGTTTTTATTTTTTCAAATTAGTTCTTTTAAGTCGCCAAACATTTTTATTGTAGGCCAAAACATAATTTCAGTTACAAAATCATTGATGTGGCAGTTAATTCAATGAATTTAAAAAAAATAAAATAGAAAATCATCAACATTTATCTTCTCTTCATAATCCTAACTAAGAATTTTTATTAGTTTTTTTTTTCTATTTCTTTTTCTTTCGTCATCTCTCTATCAATATGATTTTATTAGAATTGTATCATCTAAAAAAACTTCTTCCGGAAAGAAAAGATACAAAATCATGTGACAGTTCACTCTTAAAATTATACTGGAAACAGAAAAGTGAAAATGGGAATTTAAAAAACTTAATATTTGGCAAAAAAAAAAAAAGACTTAATATATGCCGTCAAAATCTTGTGATAAACAAGCTACTGCTAAAGAACAAAGAAGAAAGGTTTAAAAATACCAAATTCGATTTCTGATGAGTACAATATTTAATTAGTGTCATAATTTTTCACGAATTTTAAATTAGTGAGGCTCTATTCCCTTTTTCCTTGAAAATAGAGTGCGAAAGAAGAAGAAGAAAAACGTGATTTGAAATTACAACAATAACGTGATTTGAAATTACAACAATTTTAACTCAAATTACAAGGTCGCATATGATTCCACCATTTTCCGCACTTGTTTGTCATAAAACTAGAACTCATGTTAATGCTACACTTTTAACAACTCGATCAAGTTGTTGCTCTTTTTACCAGTTTGGATGTCTTGTCTAGTGTTTTTTTCTTTCTTTCTGTAAGTTCACTTCATTTTTATGTTTATTGTTGTTGGATTGCCAACAATATTTGCTTTTTTTTGTTAAATGTGACTAACTTTTTTTACGGCAATCATCATTATATCCTTACTTATTCTCTCTCATATTCTATAGGCTTAAATGCAGTTTTGACCCCTCTAGTTTAAGGTTTTTGGAGTTTCGATCCCCCTAGTTTAAAAGCCAGGTTTCTAGTCCCCAAAGTTTTTAAATTTGGGATTTTTGAAGCCCCTCCATCTGGCTGCCCAAAAAGTGACATGGCACAGGGAGAGTAATGCCACGTATTATTTATTTATTTTTTTTTATTTTTATTTTTTATTTATTTATTTATTTTTTTCTTTCGAACCTTAATTTTTCCCATGAGGAGAAGAAAAAATAAAAAAAAAAATTTTAAAAAAATAAAAAAAATAAAAAATTAAAAAAAAATTAAAAAAAATAATAATAATAATACGTGGCATTACTCTCCCTGTGCCATGTCACTTTTTGGACAGCCAGATGGAGGGGGCTTCAAAAATCCCAAATTTGAAAACTTTGGAGACTAGAAACCTGGCTTTTAAACTAGGGGGATCGAAACTCCAAAAACCTTAAACTAGGGGGGTCAAAACTGCATTTAAGCCTATTCTATATTAAACGCAAAAATACCTTTTTATATCATTTGGAGATTAAATTTCAGACGCACTGCAATACAATAGATCTTTTCATCATAAATAAATTTCATGCAAGTAAAAAATATATCTAGATTACGAAATTTAGATACACACTCTTCTTCATAAATTGAAATTTGGACACATCAAACAGGGTTGAATTGGAATTTAAATTTTTTAACAAATTATAGAACATATTGCTTTTGTATGATTGAGATTATCACGACACTTTTGTATGATCAATAATGATTTAAAACTTATACAAATATGTCTCATGTTATTAACAAAAACACTCTAAAATAAATCATTATTAGTATATTATATTTGTTTATTACAACGGCACCAGATCTCCTTTTAAATTTAAAGACACAAAATATTTCTCTTGTAAATTTGAAATCTAAATTAAAAAATCTTTTACACTGCACCGACAATTGAAGAGTGGCTAAGATTGGGTATTATTCATCCAAGATTGAGAATGAAGAGAAAATGAAGTTCAATAAATTTGAGATGAAGACAGATGCATATGTAAGACTTATGTAGCGTATATTTTATAATTACACAGCTAAGGAAGGATCCAATCGAGATGGATGTGGCACTTGCGAAGTCAACTAACGATATTCTAAAGATGATGGAACGTCCTGAACTCTTTAATGGTGATGAAGTGTCATGTTAGATTTAAGTTAATGTTATGTATGTGATAACAAAGGGGTGAATCCAAATTTTAATCTTTGGACAAGCCTCTGAGACAACATTACTTGTGTATTGTGTCTATATGTGATAACAAATTGATGAATTTAAATTTCAATCTTCGGACAAACCCCTAGAACAATATTGCTTGTGTATTCTTCGTATAAGATAACAAATGGATAGATTTAGATTTCAATCTCCAGACAAATTCCTAAAATAATATTCTTTGTGTATTCTTCATACAAAATAACAAAATGTTAAATTAGATTTCAATCTTTAGACAAACTCGTGGAACAATATTCCTTATATTCCGTGTATATAAGATTACAAAGGGATGACTTCAAGTTTAAATCTCCAAACAAATCTCTAGAACAATATTCCTTGTGTATTCTTTATACAAAATAACAAGAGCTGGATTCAAATTTCAATCTCTAAACATATATCCCCTTTGAACAATATTTATTGTGTATTATATGTATATAAGATAACAAATGGTTGAACTCTGATTTCAATCTCCAGACAAATCTCTGAAAAATATTTCTTGTGTATTCTTCATACAAAACGAATGTGCCTGAATAAAAGGGATCGTAGATGGTCCACAAGTTGGAACTGGATGATGTTGAAGTGAAATAGGGGGGTAGTTGCAAGACACTTCGATACCAAAGTAAGGTTCAGAGTAAGTGCAAGTAACGGAAGTGTAGAAAGATTGAATATCTGACTCATCTCATGTGAGAGGGTATTTATAACCCCAATACTGGGCTAAGATCCACGCATTAGGCTAAGCAATTAGGCCCAATAACGAAGACTGCTAGGGTTACGTGTGTAGTGGAGTCCAGCATATTCCCTCCTTTCTGGTCAACTGCCCCGAGATAATAGGGAAGTTGACTCGTTATTCTCGGTGGGCAGGATGGTGGTGGTTACAGAAAGTTGTTGGCCATGTTCGCCTAAGAGGCACGTGGGGAAATCCCCAAATGTTGTTAACGTGGTCTGGATTCCATTGGGTTTCAGAGGCGCTGGATTGGGCCTGCTCAACGGTGGACCAAGTGCCAGCCCATCCCAGAACAGGAGTCCCCCAAGTTATTGCTCTTAGATGAAAGAGTGATGACTTAATACCAGCTTGGTTATCGGGGAGATGTTGCCCAAAAAAGGGACGACTATTTTGGTCGGGGATTATGTGGTCGTCAAATCATCGACTTCCTCGCTCATAGTTGCACCCTCTTGCCCATCAAGGGGGCATGTGTGTGGCGCGAGTAATTTGTTATGAAGAACTCGCCTCGGCTGGTTCGTTGACTTCCCGTCTTCATGCAATTTCCCCGAGTGTCTTCTCGGGATACCCGTAGGAAAAGCGCCACAAACGATATCGAGCATGTGTTCGAAAATGAAGACTTTGAAACATTGTTAGCGCATGGTTTCACGTGGGATTTTTTGAAGCCCAAAAGGCACATCGCTTTGCGTGCCACACGTGGCGGCTATTCAAAAGTCATCATTTTCTGGGGAAGCCTAAAAGTATAAGCAATGATGACTCCTTGCACGCTACCCCGGTGGTGGGGACTAGCTATAAAAGGAGGTGAAGAAACTCACTTAAGCATTTTTACATTTTCTCTCCTCTTGCTTATCCTCCATTTGCAAGTTGTTCCATTGTCGTCACCACCACCGTAGATTTCTCCAGCGTTTATCCCTCCAAGTAATTGATTTTCTTAAACTTGTTAATTTACTTTAGGGTTTTAGACGAATAGGTGAAGTTTTCTGGCGAAGTTCATGAATTCTGAATGAAAACCTATAAACTTTGGATGAACATCCATGAGTTTTTCAATGAAGTCTGTGAGTTTTGGATGAAGATCTATAAACTTTGGACGAACATCCATGAGTTTTTCGATGAAGTTCATGAGTTTTGAATGAAGATTCATAATCTTTAAATGAACTTCATACGGGCCCACCCTGGGGATTCGTCCCCGTGACTTGGAAAAATCCAAACGATCTGCTCCGTTAGGGAGAGTATCTGTGATTTTATGCTTACCTGAGGGGAGTTGCTTCCTTTCGTGCAAGCCATCAAGGGCTTGAGTCGAGGACCCACTCCCGAGGAGCTCTTCTCTCTTTCACTTGACTTGCGGTGGAAGGGTGAATTTGATGATGTCAAATTTACTATTTTCCTCTGCTTTTCAGGTAAGACGACCCAACCAGTCAAAGAAGTATCTTTGCCCGAGTCTAATGGTGAGGAAAATGTGGGTGTGAGGAACCCCCTAGATTGGGTTGCGTCCGAACCCATGGATCTGATGTCTCAGTTCGTTCATGACCCTTCTGACGCGTT